GATCAGGAACATGACAAGGATGCCCTCTCTCTTCACTTTTGTTCACCACATTATTGGAAGTCCTAGACACAGCAATCACACAAGAAAAGAAATAAAAGGAATTCAAATTGGAAATGAAAAAGTAAAACTGTCACTATTTGCAGATGTCATGATACTATATATGGAAAGTCCTAAAGACATCAACAAAAACCATTAGAATACTAAATAAATTCATTAAAGTTTCAGGGTACAATATTTATATGCAGAAATGCATTGCATGTCATGTGTGAACAAGTTTTTAGAAAGAGAAATCAAGACAACCATCTCATTTACAATTGCATCAAAAAGGATAAATAAATCTATCCAAGGAGGTAAAAGACTTGTATTCAGAAAACTATAAGACATTGATGAAAGAAATTGAAGATGACAAAACAAATGGAAAGATACCATGTTCATGGATAGGAAGAATTTATATTATTAACATGAACATATTACCCAAGTCAATGTACAGATTCAATTTAATATCTATCAAAATAACAATGGTATTTTTCACAGCACTAAAACAAATAATTCTAAAAATTTTATACAAACACAAAAGACCTCAAATAGCCAAAAATAGTTTTGAGAAAGGACAACAGAACTGGATATATCATGCTCCCTGGTTTCAAACTGTACTACAAGCCTACAGTAATCAAAATAGTATGGTACTGGCACAAAAACAGACACATAGATTTTTGGAACAGAATAGACAGTCCAGAAATATACCAACACTTACATGGTCAATTAATCTGTGACAAAAGAGGAAATAATACACAACTGGAAAATATCACCTCTTCAATAAATGATGGGAAAATTGGAAAGTCACATGCGAAAAGTCAAGCTGGACTGCCTTGAAACACAATGTACAAAATAAATTGAAAATGGATTGAATACTTAACTCTTCAATCCATAAAATTCCTAGAAGAAGACATACCCTGTGCTCTTCGACATCAATTTTAGCAATATATTTTTGGATGTGTCTCCTCAGGAGAGGAAAACAGAAACAAAAACAAGCAAATTGGACTACATCAAAC